TCCAAGTAAGGTCCCTAGGTGGATGGAAATCTAATTCTAGTTCCGTTCTTAATCAAACATTAAGCAGGTGGCTATAATATGTTTGACTGTAAAGATAGTTCCACAGGTTATACAAATGGGGGGGGGGGGTGTCCTCTCTGCCCATCAGGAAACCGTGGGTGATTCGGGTGTGTCCGATTCGGAGACAGTTGAAAACGGTATCTTCTTTGTGGTTGAGCGTGGGGTACTGGGGTTTGTCCAACGAAAAATATCTCTTTTAGTCTCGTTAAGTTGGGTGTTTTGTCGGGTCCAGATGCTTTGCCATTTATTTTTGTGACTTCATTTGTGTATTTTTTTGAGTCACCATAAGACATTTGGTTTACTAAGGGGGTTTCATTAATGTTGGTGGCTATATAAAGGCTTGTTCGTCGGCTATTTTATTGCCTCAATATGTATGTATAATATCAGTTAGCTTGGCAATTCGAAAACTATACCTAGTCATTTCGGTCAAATTTAACAGACAGTAAAATGTATTATTATATCTGTACTTCCTTCATTAAATATCAGAATAAATCAATTCATCAAGTAGGTACCTATACTTGAACACTTGAACACTGCGTTTTTATCTATGTGAGAATAAATAAATGACCTAGGGGTTATTGGAAGTCGTCTGAACACCGAAAATGGTTATAACTTATAACTCACCTGTGTACTATTTAGGTACCTATAATCTATAGACTATAAAATATATTATAATAATATATACAACCAATAAATCGTTCGGTTAGTATAAATAACATTTGTTGTATACTTTATTAACCTAACCAAAATTGTCGACAGCGAATTAAATGGTGCAGGTATTACACTTGAATTCGTAAAAATAAAAATATAAAAATTTCTCGCGTTATATTTTCAGGACAATGCTCTGTTGTTCATTTTCAGAGGAAGAAAACCGGTAAACAGCTCTTAAAAATTACGCTAAAAGAAAACGATTTTTTTTTTTTACAATAAATATAAAAAAAATAACACCTCAAGAGATAATCACTGGTTTTATTGAGGTGCACGCATACTGCATGTCAATAATCGTCCTGTAGGTACACTGCCCGCGTGTTATTTATTATGGTGTACCTATGTAAAGGTAGAACCGAGTAGAGGTACCTACAAACATTTCCAAAACTCATCAATCAAACATACATACATATTACATATTATATACCTCTATATATATATATATATATATACTTAGATACCTGTATGTACATCATAATACGGATGTACATATATAATATATATATTATATTCATTGTGTATAATGTATATATAAATATATACCGCGGGGGATTTACTCATTTAACATAGATAGGTATATATATCTTTACCATCGGTAAAAAAGTCTCTACCAAATTTTAATCAACTTAGATCTATATAATAATAATAGTAATAATATAACAACATACTTATTATAATACCGAATCAAATTTATTGAAAACCTATTTCAATTAGTGTCAATCACAATTCCCAGCTGTTAAAATCGAATGGAGTGAGTATAATATGGAGCACGTTTTCCATAATAAAGTTTATATAATTAACATACCATATTCATTAATTATCTGGTCGATGATTATTTTGATTAGTATTCAAATAACTAAATAGTTACCTACCTGCGTAGGTACTTATAATATAAGACGGTATGCTAAAAATAATAGAATTTGGTAAATTTTTTTGATAATAGTAGACAAACTTATAAGGAATCTTGCAGTATTACATTTTCAAGTTGTTTAACCGAGTTAACATTTTTTCGTAGACATTAATAGAAAAAACTAATAATAATCTAAAATTTCACATGCCTATAATTAGTTCAACATGCATCAAAATATTTTGAACATTTTATTGCACTTTATACACAATATTACTATTGTGCTGCAATATTTTTCTCTTCAATGAAAACACTTTAAAACAATTGAAAAACCATTTTTTTATCAAATAATATGGGCACCTACCCACCTACTGTAATTCATGTCACAATTATTTTCCCAACAACAGTAATATATTTGTGTACCTATAGGTATAGCAGGTATACATTTTTATCAATGCTGAGGCGTTGAATATAATACATTTGCGTGTTGCTTAAATATTTATTATTTTTGTAACTTCGTAAAACGAATTAAGTTTGGACAGTTTGGTAAAAATGTGTATTACATTATCTACTATTATAGTGCATTATGAAAATTAATTTCGCATGTATTTGCATAATTGGGGTTTTGAGAATTTTACTGAGTGTATTATTTTTGAATATTCTTATATAAGCCTATTTTTCTTACAGTTTACATATAGATTATTTTTGGAAAATCTGCAAATCATGAATAGCTATAAGCTATCAGGTTTTTTTTCTTCACTTTAATTCCGAAGATAATTAATTTTTCAATTATTATTATAATATTATCAAATATCAATAGCATATATTGAATAAAAGCTCCTAAATATAATAATAGTGATTTTCCTTTGGTATATTTAGGTATTGCAGCAGCCAAAAGGTAGGTACAGTAACATTGTACCTATACCTATATGGCTATATTATAATATATATTAGTATACTAAAATACCTATAAACTCTTTGCCCCAGGTCTAATTATACCTTTAACTTTTAGCTAAATAGGGATTATAGGGGTCCGTGGTCTAATGCTTGAAATAGATATAAATTTTAGCATTTTAAAGTATGTAGGTTGTTATGTCTTCAATGAGTTATAAAATGTAAACACACATTTCATACAGATATTCAATAGTCGTTTACTATACGTCAATACCTATGTTGTATCCACTTGGCACTTAGTAGTTAGTACGGCCAGGGAACAGATTTTCTTTCGATCACATATTTTTCGTTGAGTAATGATAATGCACATCTGATTACGCATAATATCATAAATCATGATAGGAATGTTGAATAAATTATTTCAAATCATGTAACTGTTTTAAATATTATTGCATATTTGGACATACCTACCTAGTATCTACACGCCCATCGTGTACCTACAATTAATTTTACATTTCATAAACGTGCGTTAACGTTCTACGTTAATAATGTTGGGTCGGTACTTTTTTTTTTAATAATTTAAATCTATTGTATCGATCAGTAATTGTTTATACCTATAGATAACTATAAGTGTGCAGGTCGATAATATAATACGTCACATTAGTCGATTCACTGCTGTAAATTCTTAAATTTATTGATTTGAAACTTTGTATTAACTGTTTTATATTAAAATTTCACAATCTGTTATCTGTACAAGCAGTAGGTACACTTACGTAAGTACAACAAGTAAAAGTGCAGCATACGACGCTGCCAAAATCAGGAAAATTCCGCAAATGACAAAAAATTATTATTTTCTTGAAAAATACAAAATTATAAAACAAAACTGATTGCATAAGAAGTTAAATTAGTACTTGGAATAAATATGAGTTCAGTTACTGAACTTCAGTAGCGTTTATACATGGAGAGGAGAGCACATACCCATCGGCCTGGAGGGGGCAGCGGCGATCGTCCATCATTAAACTTTTTTTGGTAGTGCTGTTTTCATAAATAGGTAACTTATTCTCTTATTATCCATGAGCGTATTATTAATTTGTTGTTATTGGCGATATCAGGTCATTTTTCCGCTAACTTAAAACTGGATAATAAGTAACTATAAATTAATAATAACTGGTAAATAGGTACCTAACTAATAAATATAGGTAGGTATAGTGAAGCGGCCAAGCGAGAATCTGACCTAACATAGATCATTTGCAAATGAAAATGAAAGATCTATATTAACACTTCAGGTCTTTAAAAAATGTTAATGTATTTTTATATTATTTTTTAATTAATATAAGCCAATATGGAGAGTAAGAACCACTAACCAGTACCTACTGTGCCACACTTGTTGCGAACCTTTAGGAGTAAGACACATTTCTGTTTACTGCCAAAACTATATGTATAACACACTACACACTTATACATTTCGGACAACCTATACGATGAAGTCCTAAATCCACAAGAAGACAAATTTAAGGAAATTCTTTACGTTATAGTTACGTATAACTCAAATTATAGGTACCTACACTAGGTGTCTAGATAGGTATCTACCTACATTATTGTACCTATATAGGTACACTTAAACACTTTTGTTATTTTAATGTCTAAATATTTTTTTTATAAGCTTAGCATTTAAATTTGTAACATGAATAAAAAAACAAATAATTATAATAAGATAAAATGTATTAAAAGATAAATATGTCATTGAAAAAATAACTGTTGACTTTTTATGTGTATGGGGAGGGATAAAAGGCGTAAAAATATGGGGCCCCTCAGAATATTTTGAGGTGAATTACTATTTTTAAATTGTTTAAATCAAGGGATGTCAATGGTTGACTACTTGATATTCATATACGCCACTGAAGGTCCTGTCCTAGTATGCAACTACATAAATCAAGGTAATAATTAATTAATTATAAAAAATAAAGTATTCATCGAAATATAGCAATGGTATTAACAATTTTTAAAAATGATATTATACTTTTTTGTACTCGCAGATTTTTCTAATATTAAAGAACACAATGTGTGATAATAACTTAAAAGTATACTGGACAAAATAATAATTGTTTTTCAAATGTAGGACATATTTTAGTCTATAACATTTAAATTATACAGAAATAATTACCATGTTAAAATGCAATAATTAAAGCACAATACATTAATATAATGTCAATGCACTACTTATTTTCTCTGATATGCGCTGCATAGCAAGTTTGCATCCAGTAGATCAGTAGAATCAATTGTATGTTCTTGGCTTTAATATTAGTGTGAATCATAGAGATATTGATATTATAATTTATAGAACTATAGAATTGTATGTCTGAAGTAAAATTATATATTAATAAACTTCAAGTAACATAGATTACCTGAATTTCTTCATAGGATTTTTTTCGATATTTCAATTCTCATGCAAGTTATATGTATGTAAAATATTACATTTTAAAAATGCTCATAAATTGGAAAAAATATTAATATCAACAAATTCAAAGTGCTAACATAGATAATGTTCTTAGCTTTAGGTTTGATAATACATGAATTCAATCTAATACTAAAGCTGACACCACAAGATTGGTCCAATTGTATACAAATTTGCTTGTTGCACATGGGCCAGAATAAAAACAAATAGTGCTGAAATTATTTTTACAATTTGAGTTAGATAATATAAATGAGCTCTTGATTCACATTAGATGAATGTGAATAAATAAATCAAATTAACTTTAATGTACAATAATGATAGTATATAATTGAACTAAATAATTTAAAACAAACCAACTTAATTATTCCATAAAAATAAATACAAAATTCAAATATCATTAAAGCTATAATGATCTCAATTATTAGCTTAAAAAAACAAGATTGATATACATTCAAATACACAAGATTAATCAGCAATACTATTACTATTTTTTTGTAGTTTATTGACATTTGACTTGATACTTCTTTCAACACTGACTTGTGAAGCTGCGTGTGCAAATTGTTTACTGAAATGTTTTTTACATGTTAATTATTTTTGAAATACTTAAAAACTTTATAGATAGGTACTTACATTAAAAACTCTTTATTATATGGTTTCTGTTTTTCTTCCTCTTTTTTATCTTCCTTTCTATAACGTTTCACATTAGAAGAACGTTCTTTATCTCTAATTTTAGCATTTTCCATCATTTCTATTCTCATTTTTTCCATTTCTTTTTCTGTCAATTTCTTTTTCTTGGCAGGGGGTGTTTTGGCTCGAACAATACTTGAATTTTTTTTTTCTTTTATAGATGCCGGACTAATAGATGATCTTTTTACAATTTTACCTTTAGGAACCTATTAAATAATTTATTGTATTAGAGTACATGCTAAGACACAAATAAGATATACAATTTGCAAGTTATAGATAGTGGCTTACATACTATATATTAACCAAAATATAAAGTGACAACGTTAGCTAGAACTAAATAGACTATTGTCTTCATTGGAAATTCACATAATTCTTTTAATAAGTAAATGTGTTACATGCGTAGCTAGAAGTGTATAAATAATCAAATAACTATAGCTACTTTTGTATAAACAACATTTATATTTTCTTAGATAATAAAATACAATCCAAATTGCATTATATTTTATGTCACGAGAATAAAATTTACATTTTATTGTCATTTGTTAAGACAATTATAATTGAATAATATTGTTTCTTGTTAGTAGCCAATAGAAGAATTTTAAAAAAAAATTGCGTGTAAATCTACAATACTTTATTATAAGCATTTGAAATTTACATTTTGACAAACTTGAATATTTGCGCATGAATTCATAATTATTTATCACAACATTTTAGTGTTATAATGTAGTTCAAAAAGCAAGTATTACCTGTAGATACTTGAAACATTCTCCTATTACTCAAGTTATTATGTTCTAGACTCAATGAAATTTTCAAAATATTTAAAGCTATTAGTAAGCAATTTAGGAATAAGAATTTTTATTTTTATGTGTTTATAAAAATTTTTAGGCACAGCCAAAACGCTTGACAATTAAATACAACTAATACAATAACCCCCATAAATAGCTCTTTTAGAAATTAAAAAACATAGGCTTGTTTTTTTAAGCTTAAAATTCGATTTTTTTAACAAAATCATAAAAATCACAAAATGTATAAATTATTTTTTTTATTTAAAAATATATAAAATGTTCAATTTTTATAGCTAAGGCTTGAAAAATGTATAAGGGGTTCTAACTGAAACCTAAAAATATAAATAAAAATATTTAATTAAGCACAATTTATTTTTATAGTTCAAATTTTGACAAAATTTTAATATATCATTATATTTTACTACACGCAATGACATTTTCAAAATATTTTTCAAAGTTATAGTTTTTATTGCATTAATACTAATAGTGAAATAAATTATTATACTAGCAATAAAAATGTAAGAGAAAATATACCATTTTTTTGATTAGAAATTTAAAAAATTAACAAAAATTAAATGAATAAATACATTATTACATTATTATGACTAATAGAATCATTTCAGTTGTACCTAATAATGTTTTAATAGAGATGACCGGGGCTCGTAAGTTCATGCATTTGCATGTTTTTTTTGCTACACAGAAAAATATGCTAACTGAGATACAAATCCGTTTCATAACAATAGTAATAATAATATGAAGTTTAATAGTGCATGTTTTTGCATGTTTTGGGTGTAAAGGCATATTTGGCATATAATCGTTTTTTTTTAGAGTTTATAGCGCATATTATTTCATAAAAAAATTGTTTGGAAAAATATTTGAAATGTTTCTTGTTTCTTATTTACTTTCCCGTTTACTGAATGATAGTATTTTGATTTATTTTTATTTTCGTGTGACTACTTACTTTTCTAGTATTTCCCTATTTAGATTTTATGCGTTTTACTTAGTACCGGGGAAACAATTTTATAGCTACCACTACCATCCTCCGCCATGTATATTTCCTCGTCGAAACGATACCTGTACAAGCATATACACCTGTACAAGCATGTACACCTGTACAATGTTTCTTACCAATCCGCATCTACAATTTTGTACACTGGTACAGTATAGTTTTCTTGCACACGCCAGTCGCCGATGAGTTGTTTAACTGTACGAGTAGAGAAAATGTCAAATAACTAATATTTCATTACAAATATTTTCATTGTAGGTGCAGGATAATGGTGTGCAAAAATTAGACAAAAAATGACTACTTAATTAAAATTAATAAAGATGACGATTCCATATGATTATATGAACTTCACAAGTATTCATTTTATTAATTTTGATTGTTATATATAAAAATTAAAAGGAATAAAATACTTTTAAAATTAATGGATATATTCTTATTATTTTAAAATTTGCTCATAAATATTTTACATGATGCATATTTTGAGTGCATAATTTAAAGATGTAAGGGCATTTAAATGCATATTTTAGAACTTTTTAGTGCATATTTTAATACATATTTTGCCAATTTTTAGTGCATGAATGCATGCTTATTTGTGCTTTTTTTAGTGCATGAACTTACGAGCCCTGGATATGACCCATATTAATACCCATGGAATTTTAATAGTGATGTCTATAACATTTTGTCTTGGTTATTGTAATACTACTAATACTGGAAGATTTTATTAATTTGAATATCTTACTATTAATCCATAGTTCTTGTTTCCTCTGTGTTCATCTTTTTCACTATCTGATTCAAATTCTGGACCATGTCGATGTTTGGAAGTCTTCTTCGCTGCATTATTATTCTTTTTTTCATCATCTGAACTTGACGAACTACTGGACTCCTGTCTGTTTTTATCTTTTTTAATTTCATTTGTTTTTTGATATTTATTTCCTTTTGGGGGACTCTCTGATGATCTACTACTTTGGGTATTCAAATTTTTACGATGTCCATGCCTATTTTTTGAGTCTTTGGTGGTAACCTTTGACTCATGTTCTTTGTCAGTACTTTTTGGTCTATGATGGTGGTCATTACTTTTAGTCCTATGTTTACTAGGTTCAAGGGCGCTGATTGGTTTTTTACGTTCTAGTTCTCTATCTGAACTTAATGATCGTTTTCTTTTATTATCATGTCGTTTTTCTCTATTTTTAGATTCATGTTGTTTATATTGTTCATCTTTTCTAATATTGTCACTGTATTTTTTGCTATGATCTACTTCAGCATGATGATTATTTCTATATTTATTTTTTAAAGTTTTATCATTTTGTTCATATTTTTCTTCCGAGATGGATCTGTTGCGTTCATTTCTTTTTTTTTTATAATCTTGCAGATTGCCATCGCTATCATCAGTACTAACTGATCTATGTTTTCTATGATGATTATCATTTTTATGATGTTTATATTCCTTCGTTGATTTATTTCTCTTAGGAGAATCTTTATCATCTGCAGATGAAATTGACCTCTGTCTATCCCTCTTATTTTTGTTGTCTTTATGCTTGTCTTCTCCATATTTAAGAGATTTCTTATCATTTTGTTTTTTGTTGTCTCGTTCAAAATTGCCAGACTTTCGTAAATGTTTTTTTTTCTTGTTTGTCGATTTTTCATCTTCTTCAGAACTGGACTTATCTGTCTTGCTTTTTTTTTTATGTTCTTTTTTATCTTTATGTTTAGTAATCGACAGTATCTTGCCAAGATCTAATCCAGCTTTTTCATATGATTTCAAACGGCTAACTAGTATCATGTCTAACTGATGATCATCAATAGTATGTTTCTCTTTTTCGATATTTTGTTGTTTTTTCAAGCGCATTGGATTTTGAAGAATTTTTTGTGTGCATTCAATTTCCCGTTTTTTTATATTAACCAATGGATCTTCTGAAATTTTTTTTGTCAAGTCTACTTGAGAAAATTTATCTGTTGAGCATATTTGTGGTGGCAAAATTGAATCTAAAATGCATACAATAATACAATATGAATATAAATATAAATTAAAGACAATATGTTATGATGAGTATATTGAACTTAAATAAAGGTTTAAAATAGTCAGTTTTGAATAACAATCAAATTATAATACATTGATTAAGTACCTATATCAATTAAAAAACTTAATAAAATAAGCAACAACTATTTTTCATACCTACTAATTTATTGCCATCATTAAATATTTCCAGCAAACTTATATACATTTTAATTTTGTTAACCTGAACAGTGAACATAATTCAAATGATTATGATATATTTAATTCAAATTAAAATTGTCATTTCTTAGACTTAAAATGTTTTAATGGCTAAACATAAATATTTAAAAAACCATATATAAGGTATCTAATTTTTAAAGGATGAAAAACATGTTTAGTGTTAAGTATCTAAGTACCAACTGAGAATTGATATGATGTTTAATGTCAACATAAAACATTTCAAAAATCAACTTTAATCCATTGTTAAATATAAAAACATGTAATAAATAAACAATTGTACATTGCATATGAATAATATAAGATAAACTATAATAATATGATGTGCAATAATTTTATTGACAATTACCGTTATCTGTGCTTTCACCATATTTTCTATCAATTTTTTTCCCCAAAAGATAGTCGTCTTTTTGTACTCGTGTACCATCGTACATCCAATCCATGATAGATTCTTTTAGGTATTAAAAACCTAAAACGTATCAAATATATCTGAATTAAAAACAATGGACGTGTTAAACTGGGAATTAAAATAAATTACCAGTTGCATATATTTACCAAATTATATTCAACGATTCAGCTTGAGATGTATCACACTCAATTATGAACATAAAATGTACAGATACTTTTAATTACGAAAACAGACAACACCATAAATGTATTCAGGAATTCAATTAGTTATGGTATTTCATTATAATGGTCGGATGTAATCCAGTATCCACAAAAACAATTTTTTAAATTGCACGCGTTGTTGTTATTGTAAACATAGATTGTAAATATTATAATTTGTAATGTTGCTATTATCAAAAATAGATAACAGCAACAACGGAATCATCAGCATTTTCACCGAAGACATCGGAGCGTATCAATACGTATCGCTGTATCGGCATGATTAATGTATTTGTTAATTTAAGTCATGCGCATTGTGTATCGGTTCAGTAACGAGCGTTTTTCTTTTCGAAGGTACGCACGTGTTGTCACTTGTCGTAGATCTGTTATTAATTTATAACTGGTCTATTCGTCATTCGTGTGGCATACAATTGAATATTGATACGTTTAAACTGTAGACAAATTGGCGGACGCATCAGTTGCTACAATATTTAATATTATTATTAATTATTATATTATTCTGTATTTCTGTTTTCTGTATATGTATCTGACTGAGTGACACATAAAAAAACATATAACATATTAGACCTGTTAATAATAAGCCCAATATTGATCTGGCCATTCTGACTTGTGTATAATTAGATATGCGCTACAATGCTAATTACAGTAAGACACATGCTAGTTGCAACTCTGAGTCGTGTTGCATAGAAGTTAAGGTCCACACACACTGGAGGCGGTAAATTATTTTGTCTTGGCGGTGCCGGTAAATCGTGTCTGGACTTCTTTTACCGCTACCGCTACAGTGTGGAGGAGGACCTCTATTTGTGTTTTTACTTTTTTTTTGGAAAATATATGCAATATTTTGAACCATGACCTATCATACATTTTTAGCTTGTGCAATTACGCATTTGTACATAACCTTAATACATAAGTATAATACATATTATGTAAATAATTAAAATGGATAATTCGTTATCACTGTAGTACTGTGTCACGGTCACAGATAACAGATTATGGACCTATCACCTAGCAAAATATCACGGAACAATATAATAAATTATATAACAACTTCCTATCAAGTAACAACACCTATTCTAAGGACATAGTTACAGTCTACAGAGACACAGAGTATAATATAGACTATAGGTACTCCGTATTGATGTATTATAGTCTGTATAGGTACCTACTAATCATTACTCTATCTCTATAGGTATGTTAATTAATTGGAGAGTCAATACCTAATTTGAAATAAAATGTAGATATTGCAGTACATTTTTTTTTTATGTAATATAAATTATAGTATAACTAGGTACCTCCCAGCTCCCTTTTAAAGTTTGAACATGGTTTGAAAAAAGTTACAAAAAACGCTTATATTTTTTTTAAATTAAAAACAAAAAAAAAAATTTTAAAAATTTGTCCAAGGCATTTTGTAGTAGTTATTAATTTATAATATTTAAAACAAGGAAAAAAAAAAGCAATTTTGAAATTGGTTGAATTTTTATTTTGTTTTATACCTGATAAATATTGTTCAAAATATCCATCATGATTTGCTACCTACTTGCAAATATTGCACGAGTAAATTGGATAAGCCCATGAATCATAATCTTTGTAACAAAATTAACATGTCACTAAAAATATCTCACACATTTTTTAATTACCTATAACACATAGGTAACACTATAAAATTTCGTTACAAAGATCATGATGGACCTATAAAATTAACTTGTGAATAACACTTCATGCGGTGGACAGGTGTATTTAACAATGATATAAAAAATAATACATACAATTTCAACGAAAAGATAATGCTTGTTCTTTATTACCTAAACCACAAAAACCATACAGTTTTAGTATTTTTGAAAATATATCTAAGTTGCTTTCATTAATACAAAATACAACCGATTTCAAAATTGATTTTTCTTAATATTATTATTAATACATACGTAACTTAACAAAATGTATATTTTTAAATAAAAATTCTATGTTAAAAACAAGGAAGCTATTATAGCCAAATATTACATTAAAAAAAAATAATAGTATTTGCATTTTGAGTTAAGTACCTATAATTCTCAGTAAAAAAATATATTATTATAAATTCGTAATTATTATTTTATTATTTTACTTAATTAAAATTGAAAATATATAAACTAAAAAGAATGAAATTTGAAAACTAGTATCTTATTTTAAACACAGATACTTAAAGAAAGTATTTAAAATACGTGTTTGCTTATAGATAGGTACTTAATAATAGCAGTAGATATTTATAAATATACTTATTTCTTTTACTGAAGTACTTTACAAGGGATATGCGTCAATTATTATTCATTAGTCGCCGAAAATAATTAACTCAAAAATTGTTCGAGTACGAAAATTATTGTTCGTGCATGCATTGTTCATATTTTTATCAGTTTATTGTTAATTCAAAATCGGTCTATACAGCTATTAATAAATTCAAATGTCAATTGAATTAGTTTTTTTTATAAATAGTTTTACACATACACATAATAGATAAATATACCTATATAATAGTATATAAAAATAAAATACTATGTTGTTAAGTATTTGTCCACATTTGTGGATGTGATTATCGTTGCAATTGAACATTATATGCAACACCATGAAGATAATAAATTGTTCTACGGTTATTAATTTATTATAGGTAATCTGCACTCATTTTTTTTAAATTTTCACTTTTATTTTGAAAAATTTTTGTGATTGTAGTTCTTGACCTGTAACATACTGCTGAATTTTTAAAGTATTAATACTTTTTTCTTTTTGGAGTGCATGTATAAATCTCCAAATTGATGAATGTTTGAATGAATTAAGTGTAGACAAAAAACTATTGTGCCATCCTTCAACTGAATTTTTACTATTTAAATATTTATTACCTACTGTAAAATAAAATTGGACGGACAAAATAGTGTCGTATGATTTTTGTGACAAGTGTGTGTTACTGTGTTAGTATTAATATTGTTACTAGGTATAGTACTACACTATTATTCCAGAACACGTAAGCAATGGGATTTTTGTGTCCATTAGATAATCCATATAATAATATATATACATAACGATCGACATGATTTTAAAACGTGTTTTGCAATAAGCCACTTTTCACACTGTTGTGCTGTGTGTGTTAAAGATACCTTAATGCAGGTTATAGATTACAATATATATTTTTTGATAATCAAGTCTTATTTTTTTCACGAACGATTTGTACGCGAACAATAATAGGTATTGTCGTATTCGAATAATTTTCCTGCGAATAATTTACGGGATACCCTTTACAAGACTACCCATAGCTTAAATATAATATAATTAATAGTTAACACACAAGTACATAACATCAGCATATCACCTTATAATAGTGTAGACAGTGTAGTGTAGTAATATAAAAAATCTACATGTATAATATCTTCTCCAGGTCACCACATCATGTGCAATATAAAAGAATGATCTTAAATCGTAATAATATGACGTGGTCACGATGCAAGTCTGAACCTCGTTCAAATCGATATAGCTACGCGTATCTCCATAGTCCAGACCAGTTAAGACGTTATATTATACTAATTAGTAATTACTAGGGCTGGGATTTGTATGCAAATAGTAAGTACATAGTTATTTTAGTAAAACATGGTAAATTAATTATTGCAAATGATAAAATCGTTTCACGTCATTTGGAATAAAATAAGACATATTTTGTTTTACATGTTTTTACATATTTCGTCTTATACATACATATTTTTACATTATTTCAATACTTGTAAAATAACTGTTATTTTTACATATTTCGCAAATTTCGACAAAAATTCCAATGTGTAAAATGATTTGTCAATTTACATCATCAAAATTGGTGGCTTAATAGTAATTTAAACTTCGATAATAGTAATCGTAAAAATTGTAAATGTGTATAGTAGGTATATAATTTAATAATTATATTTTAATTTAACAAGTTTACATATTTTTGAATTTTTATTTTTATTTATTACAAATTTCTTAATTTGTACTTCATATTTTGACCATTTCAATTACAAATATATGTACATATTTTTGGTTTTTTATTACAAAATCTCAGCCCTGCGCCCCTACCCAGTGGCGTATATACGAATTATTTTCACTATGGGCCAATTTATCAATTATCACTAGTCAAGCATAGCCATAATTATAGGTACATTTTTAAGGGAACAGCTGCGTGGTTATATAACTAATAATTATGACATATTATACAGTACAAATAAAAATTGCGCAATTCAATTTTATAATTATTATGTAAAATTAATTTTTTGTTTCTTTTTTTAAAAATATTGACAGTGTCGTTTATATATTTTAATGTTATCTTACTTTGAATTTAACATCAAAGTCAATAAGTCATTAAAGCAAGTCCCGTGAATATAACATTTCCTTGTTGATTCCTCAAAAATGACTTTAATCAACCGGCTAACTTAATCATGGAGAAAAACTGTAAACAGTGTAAATATGCATGCAATACTTTAATTAAACCTGCAATTTCACTATGGGCTCTGGCCTAGGGGGCCTCCCCCCTATATACGCCACTGCCCCTACCAATCACTAGGGAATGGATTTGAATAAGAATTTCATTTTTTTCTGAATGTCCGAAAACATTGCTTTATAAGCACAAAGTTCATTTTATACATCATAATTCATAAGGAATTGAAAAATTTAACTTTTATTTTAAATTTTTTGACATTTTTAGTGCATTTTTTGTTTTTAAGTCATTGTTGTATGAGAATGGATACAATCTGATAAAAAAATAAGTTAAAATTCATTCTAAAAGAGTAAAATCAAATATTTATTTTGCCTCGTTGCACTTCTGTTTTTATTATTTATTATATTTTTGAACGATCAGAAGAATGTGACCCCAGCTATAATATGATTGTAGTCGAACGAAATTTTATTGTTGACACGTGTAGATACTTAGTTATTCACATCACATACACACATGCAATTTGATAAGGACATGATAAGCTATTAATATCAAATTTCTTCAATGTTAACAATAATTCCAAGAGAACCTTTAAGTGCATTTTTTAAAAAAATTTCTGTTGTGAGTGCATTACTAATCACTGTACTAGATTCTGAGTGGCAATACACTCAGGTGTAACCACTGATAATATATTAGGTATATTATATATCTGAAAAAGTACATAAACGTCATAAACAGTGTCTCCGCAGCCAGGATTAGGAAGGGTTGGCCGTTGGGGAGGTTTAAATATAAATAAAACTAAGTTTTTTTTACAGTTTTTGAATAAACATAATAAATTCATTACGGTACAAAAGGCAATGGTGAGAAGGGGGGTTGACCCGGGGGGGGGGGGCCTTGCTACTCCACTGAAAGTAACAACTATAGCAACTGATGTTACGGCCTACACATATCTACCCTATCTATACTGTGTAGCCGTTTAAAAGCGTAATAGTGTGACTCTTTTGAGACGTTTTCAGAAGCGAAGTTTGGTCTCCTTATAATATGTTCTATGAAAAAATAGTCGTCATGATAATTATTATACATATTATGAAGTATAATATTATCATTTATGATTTATCATGTTGATAAATTGATATTATTTATGTGTATTAATAATGTTATGATGATGTAATTAGATGCCTAATAAATAATAATTAATGGTAATTATGTATCACATTTCACAGTAGGTACCTACTCAGTTTAAGTAGGTAGCATGACGTATAAAACGAATCAGAAATCAGAATGAAACAATTTATGAAAAAACGATAATTCTGACCAGCTAATTCTATCTAGTATCGTCTATCATTAATATATTTTGTTGAGCGTCTTATTATATCCATTTCGAAACCGGTCAATATACCAACTCAATAAAGAGTTATTGATTATTGACATGCGTTGTTCGGATATTCTATTGATTCCTGAATAATCCAGATAATATTGTATTGACGTATTGTTTTGTAATTATGACGTGTAGTAAGTGGGCCGTATACCTAACCTATAGGTGTGTCGTTATCCGGTAATGCAGTGGCGGAAACAGGCCTAAAACATATTATCGTTTAATTTTTTTTCTACATAACTAGGTACTATAAATAGCTACTACGACTGTATAATTCATTTATTTGACTTCCGGCACGCCAACCACTCGGATTCCTACATTGAGTGAAGAGATTCAGTTCAATATTAAGGGGGGGGGGTACTTTTTTTTAATTGCTCTAACAATAATAATTAAACAAGCAATAATGAAACATTTGCATACCACTCCCACAGATCACTATAGTATATGTATATTAGTATATTATTCAACAATATTTAGTAATTTATAAATCCCAATCATAGAATAGATAAAATCAATTTCATCTAAATCTGTGTTTCAAACTCCCAATTACGGTCTATGGACTATGATAATACTAGACCATACTATTACAATTATAGTCCTTATAGCAATAAATAATAATTCTATAACATTCAAAAATATAACATTTTAAAATAACTGCAATAAACAATATGACGACCACAATAATATATTTCAATATTATTCATAACTGGGCAGTAATGTATACCTACTTTAAAAAATAATGTTGGGTGGACCGTGGACGGTAGAATGGACGGTTGATCTATATTATATGGTTCTATAAATATAATTTAATATTTTATTATTATAAAAATTATATAACCTCTCGGGAACTGTGATTGTTATCGTACCAAAAAAATTTAAATCACTTTGGGCAGTGTTGGCTGATGCAGGACGTGGAGTGATAACTGATAACGATGTTGTTTTGGTTGGTGGTGAGAGGAGATGATCTGTGTCGAACCCATATTGGCTCATTAGTCGAGCAGCAACAGCAGCAGATTCATATTACACCTATTATTCAGCAATTTAGTTGCTAGGTGGAGTGTGGATGTGCTGCAACTACGGCCGTCATCACTCGTCGTCAATAACGAGGCCGACCATCGTTTATTAACAGGTTCCTCCTGTAACTACTAATTAATCGCAAACATAATTTTTTTTTTTCAAAAATAATCAAATCCCGATCCTTTCCGCACGAGAGGCCTGCCGCTGATCGTATTATTATGCTCGAAATCTAATGCGTCCGGCGTCAGAACGCAATAATACAAATTATAACTGTTGTTGTTATTATGTGAAAGTGCATGTCCACGAGAAATTGTTTTAACAATGACGAATTCGACTTTGCTGCTGCCTCAGTACCACAAGTATCTCAATGGTGCTCCAGTGCCGTTCAGCAGGCGGACCCGGAGGAACAGCGAAATGTGTCTGGTTGTGCTGGTATTTATTTCCCTGACGGTCATCTGCTTTGGAGCCGTGTTCTATTTACCCGAGTTTAAGGCAACCTACGGTGGTACCATTAACAATGTGTACAAGCACATACAGAACGCAGGGCCTGAACTGTTGTTGCCAGCCCATGGAAACTCTAGGCACGATGGAGTATTGGAGGACCCGCACGCCGCTTGGGATAAGCAAATACTGTCAGCCAAAATTGATGAGGACTATTCGGACAAACGAAAAGTGTTAGAAAGACCTGATACAGGTAATGCTATCAAACGGCATATTATCAGTAATAGTAGTTTCAATCCTGAAGCAGAATCAATTGTTGAACATGTCGAAACTAGTCAAACTTCTGAGAATTCAGAGTTGAGACAAAGGCGAAACAAAGTTAAAGAAGTGAGTAATTTTTACACTCTTAGAAAATACTTAACTCTTATGAGCACCTATTATTAAGTGGTTACCTAATTAAAATAACTAAATGTGTTAATATTATAAAAAACAAACTGTCAACATTTTGGCTAGATATGTGTTGAGGGGGATACAACTTTTTAGCTGAAGTGGAGAATAAATATGTGGTGAATGTCTCAAAGAGGAGTGTTGTGATTTGACTGGTTTATTTATTGGTATAATCAGTATTGACCTAGCATACCACAGGCCCATAGATCAGATTTTGTACGGGGTCCCATAATGAACGGCCTTGGGCCTTGTAAAGAAAAATTGTGCCTAAAAATTATTTAGGTTTAAATATTTTGATAGTTACTTTAAGAGTGCCTACTCCCAACATTGACTAGGAACATGCCAAGCAAATAAAAAATATAAGAGACCATAAAAAAAGACGGAAGGGCCCTGGCCAGGCCGTCACTGCGTATAATCATTAAGTGTATTTAATGTATTAATAGACCATAATTTTCAATTATTTAGAGAACAATATATACCTAATTTAAAGTTACTAAAAAGTTTTTTGCTGAACTCTTAATAGCTCAAATAAAAATGCATTTCAAATCTTTAAAAATGTATTTAACTTTATAATTGTGTGTTATTATAGGTAAAATTCTGAAAGTGTCTTAATATTAATCATATTTATTATTATAGGTATAAGTAATTAAGATAAATATTTTTTATAAATTATAATATTATGATTAATAACGATTAATTTAAAAAAAATTGTGATAACAATAATTATTATCAATGTATATCTGTATATTTTTCTTTTAAAATATTATTTAATATTTTAGATAAAAGGGTAAAATAGAAATAATATTGTAATATACTAATATACCTATTACACTTAACAAAGTTTATTAGACTTGATAATGTTTTTTTTGTACTTAATAATGTGTTTGGTTTAACTTATAATTATATACTTACTCATATTTACTTTTTATTTAGATGATGAAGCATGGTTGGGATAACTATGTTAAATATGCATGGGGTAAAAATGAATTAAAACCTGTATCAAAACGAGATCATTCTGGAAGCGTATTTGGATCAGCAAGTATGGGTGCAACTATTGTCGATTCATTGGATACATTATTAATTATGGGTTTACACGATGAGTATAAACTTGGAAGAGATTGGGTTGCTAATAATTTTACTTTAGAAAATGTGGTAAGTAAATGTAGTAAGCAAAAGGAACCTTAATTTATTTTATTCAGTGAATTTACTAATAGTTATTATTTTTACATAAACCCTCTATATATGGTATATTATATAGATAATAAAATATTACATTTCTATAATAATTAGTGTATAGTGCAATAGGTACTACAATATTATAAGTGTAGGTATCTAAGTCTATAAAAGTTTATCTAGAGTTAATGTTCATAATTTGTCCTGGCTTTCTGGAATCCTACAAATTTAAAATATCTAAAAGTATTGAAAATAATTAATGACATTACATTGAAGAAAACCTGTACACTACATTCATATAAAACTGTTAAAATGTGTACAAAAGTTGGAATATTACAACAACCAACCTATGTTGTGTTAGAAATTGGAGCTATTTTTTTTATTAACTTTTAGTACATGACACTATTAATTATTATAGCATAAAATGTGACTATTAAATATGTATTTAGTTACCTAGTATATGCATAAAAATATTTTCTTCCACTCATATCTGTGTATATAATAATTAGTATTAATGGATATGATGTTTTTTTTTTACAGAAAATAGATATATCAGTTTTTGAAACAAATATTCGTTTTATTGGTGGTTTTCTTACATGTTATGCTATGACTGGTGATACTATTTTCCGTGATAAAGCTGATTATATTGCAAAAAAATTATTACCTGCATTTCAAACTCCAACTGGAATCCCATATTCATTAGTCAATCTAAAATCTGGGGTGAGTATTATTTTTAAGATTGTTTGATATCTATGACTAGCTATAACTAGCTTGCGAGGACTAAATAATGAGTTCTGAGGCCTGTATGCAAATTTTAATTTAAGGCTATTTGGCCCATTTTATATTTAAATATTTCCTTTCTATTAATATCACTACATTCTGTCATCGTAATAATAACATAATTTAAATTTATTATTGCATATTAAAACATTTTTAAAATCAAACAAGATGCAGAAATTGGATATTGAATACTCTTCTCTAAATTCTTACCACAGCAAAATTTAGTATTGTATTATAATATATAATTTAATTGATTTATAACCAATAACAAATTATTGAAAAAAAAAAATAAAAAGCATTTTGAATAGAGAAAGATACATTAGTAAAGGTTTGTAAAATATAACATTCAAATTCTAGCTCTTAATATAAAATTTATTAAAACTTAAAAGCAATCTCGAAAGCAATGTAATAATATTGGCATTAGTTTTAACATAATTCACATTTTATTTAAATTAGTAATATTCAAAAAAGAACATTCTTAGTCATAATTATTATTGGTCAATTATATTTTATTCCTCCAAGGCATTAATTAATTAATATTTTCTTTTTTTTGGATGGGGGGGGGGGCAGATCTGAAATATTTTAGTTGGGGGTAAACAAGTATTCTGTAATTCTAAATGATGTTAAATTTCCAAGTTGACATAATCTTAGAATATTCCAGTTACAGTACAGCCTTGCATTTATTATATCAAAATTTAAATCATTATGTTTACACTAGACTAAATTTAAATTTATAAATTATGATAACTATAAGTACACTTCTACATTTATTACTTTTTAAATAGGTAGATTTAATATTATTTATTTTTTATGTACATTGTATAATACATGTTTGGAATATTTTGCATAGTAATAATAAAGAATGATACTTTTTCTACAGAATTTTTTACAATCTGTACAGTTTATGAACAGTATGTAAATTCGATGACTAAAATTTTTCATAGCAATGAGTTTACATTTATGGGCACTTAGCTGTGCCACAAGAATGAAGCATTGAAAATTATAAAATTGTTTCATCTACACTTCAATTATTATGACTCATATGAGTATTAGAACAATTTTTAAAATGTTATGACTTATTATAGATAATATGAATTCAAATATTAAAAATAAAATAATTATAATAATTATTTTCAAATTGCTATTAATGTAAACCATTAAGATGAATAAAAAAAGGTAAAAAATATACATTGTTTGTAGGAAGTGACTTGAACAAATAATTGTTTTCATTTTATAGGGCTTGATACTTTCATTTTTTGGTGTAGTTTAGGTACAATAACTTCTGAACCTTAGCACACCTAGTCATTATTAACTTAGTGGAATATTAATTAATCATAGAATTATTTCTACTAATACATAATAATATAGTATTTTTGGTTGTTTTTTTAGAATAGCAAGAATTATTTATGGGCAAGTGGTGGTAGTAGTATACTATCAGAATTTGGTACTCTACATTTGGAATTTGTATACTTATCTGATATTACTGGAAATGACATTTATAAACAAAAAGTTGAACATATTAGACAGTTTGTGAGAAGTCTTGATCGACCTAATGGATTATATCCAAATTTCTTAAATCCAATTACTGGAAAATGGGGACAACGTAAGTATTTTTGTATTATTTTTAAATTGTTTCTGGTTATTATAATTAAAATTAAAACTCAATAAAATGTAATTTGGCTTTGTAAGAAAAAATTAAAATAATATATACTTAAATATTATAATATAATTATTTAAATACAATCCATATTATTATAAGAATATATAATTGTGTGTATATGCATAGTTAGATTTATTGGTAGAGAAGTTAAAATCTACATCCGCATTTTCAAAAAATTATCTGCTTAATGATTATAACTAAAAAAGGTGGTTAAATAGTATAAAAATCTAATTTATTAAAACAGGTATACTCAAAATCATAATTTGAATAAATTCAATATTAATGGATATTGATTAGGTTATGTACAACAATGAACATGCTCAGTAAATCACCAAGTTTTATATAATATAATATGTAATTGAGTATCAAAACTTATATCATTGAATGTATCTTACATTCCTAAGAATTTTCACACATTTTCTTAAAATGTTTTTGTACACAATGACTAATACTATTGAGTATATATTTCACTTAATATTAAAACTTTAAGTACTTTTAAAAATAATCTTAAACAATAAATTATCTGCTTGTCTTCAATTATTTTTACACAATTTTTAGAAATGTTGGTTTTGTTTTGTATTATCTTATTTATTACATTCTTATCGTTTGTGCTACGTATTTTATATTTATATTATCTTCAGTCTCCAAAAAATAATTACCTTGTTGAAATGTATAACTTAAAAATGTAATTAAAAATAATATTAACAATCCAAAGCAGTTTGACACTTCAGATTATATAAAAAAATAAATAATTAGTTAATAAACCATTAATACTCAAATATGAATTAGAAATTGTAACCTTTATAAATACAAGTACCTTTATACTTAACTGTAATTGTTTTATCAGAGATCATACATAATTAGTTAAGCAATCATTTTTAATAACTTAAAATGTACTTTTATTTACATAACATATTTTGTAATTTATTAAAATGTATTATTTTTAAAACTATAAATTAGCAAAGGTAGAATTAGACTATTTAACTCTTGACTTAAAGGCATATATTGTAACTGTTGAGCTGTAGTAGTTTATAACTAAAAGCTGATAAAAAAAAAAACAACTTTACCAATGTTTTTCTTTTATACATGCATGAATATAAAACTATTATATTGTAATTATACAGTTTTGCAACTAAAATTTATCATATCTATCTGTACATAATGTGTCATATACATATTCATAATTGCATTGTATTATTTTAGGCCATGTATCACTAGGAGGCCTTGGTGATAGTTTTTATGAATATTTGTTGAAAGCGTATATACAATCTAACGGCAAAGATTTAATAGCACGTGACATGTTTGATGATGCTATGGCAAGTGTGATGGATAACCTAGTACAAACATCTTCTACTGGACTAACATATTTAGCAGACATGCGTTTTGATCGACTCGAACATAAAATGGACCACTTATCGTGTTTTGCAGGTAAATAATAATATACATATAACAATATAGTTGGTTTTACCTAACTCCGGGTTATTCAAAACTCGGTTTTGTGTTGTACAGTTAGATTTTATGTGTAGTATTTGGTAGTCATTCTTATGTCTTATTAACTTTCAAAGAATTACTGTTTTTATAGACTATTAATAATAATAATAATAATTAACTTTATTGCAACTACATCAACACGAATAATCCAAAAATATAAACATAAAATACCATAGGATAATTATTGCACCACCTAATAAAAGCAAAGCTTTGGGAGAACGAGTTCTAATCACTTAAAGAATACAAATAAATTGAAAAACAATCTACTGTTTATACTAATACTATACATAGTACAACAATTTTTATGTATGTAATAATCTTATAATTATTATATTATCGCTGACAAATCCAATCAAACTAATTAATATTAATATTTAATAAGGGACATAAATTAAGACCATACAATTTTTTGTCTAAAAACGTTTTGATGCCAATAAATGTATGTCAACATTTTGTTTATACCTAGTATTATGTTCATGATCTGATACTGGTATTAAATGTTTAGTTTACACAAGTCTACTAATAGATATTGGTTATAAATAATCTTAAAACTATTTACCAATGTAATGTTTTTTATAAATTAGAATAGTTTAAGTTTGCATAGGAAAATTAACTAAATATTTAATAACACCATTTATTGTAACATTGATCTAGATATAATGTTATTTAAAGTTCCTCCCCAAATGGATATACCATATGAGATAACAGATTGCACTAAAGCTAAATAAATAATTATTGTATAATTTACATCTTATATATACTTAGCTTAATTAAATACATAGAAAACATTTTGTAAAATAACATTAATATTCTATGATTTCTATTTACTATATTTAAATTATTTTTCAATTCTACTATTACTAAATGTAATTTTATGAACTAAAAAGTCTAAACAGTCTTTAAAACAATAATAATTTAAACTTTTGAAAACTTCTTAGTTCATGGATAACTAGAGCTGATAATTGTATTCAATACTTGATCTTATACATGTGTAATTTTAGGTGGAATGTTTGCACTTGCTGGCGAAACTCTAGGTAGTGATGCGTCTAAACATTATACTGATCTCGGTGCTAGTTTAACAGAAACATGTCATGTAGCTTACGATAAAACTGCTACAAAATTAGGACCTGAAGCTTTTAGGTTCACAGATAATTATGAGGCAGTTGCAGTACGAGGCACTGAAAAATATAATATTCTTCGTCCTGAAACAGTGGAGTCATATTTTGTTTTATGGCGATTAACTCATGACAACAAATACCGAGAATGGGGATGGGAGGCCGTACAAGTAAGAGCCATTTTACTTAATTGAACATAACGATTGATAACAGTTAATTATCAGTCTCAGTTTTCAACATAGCTTAACACATTTTGGTTTTATTGTATTAAGGCTTTTGAAAAACACTGTAGAGTATCGGGTGGATACAGTGGAATTAAAGATGTTTACCAAATAGATTCAAGTAAAGATGATGTTCAGCAGAGTTACTTTTTTGCAGAAACTCTCAAAGTATGTAATATTGACTAGTAATTAGATGTAATTAAATAGTTATAATTTTACTTATTCATAAATTATGTTCTAGTATTTATACCTATTATTCAGTGATGATAATCTAATTCCATTGGATAAATGGGTGTTCAATTCAGAAGCTCATCCACTTCCTGTAAAAGAACGTAATACTCAATATAGAATGCATCAATGAGTTATATAATCGTTGTGAGTTATATGTTTGGAATGTCAAGAACTTTGTTTATGAATTTTTTATGTTTGTTAAACATTTCAAAAACTTAACTAGTTTTTGAAATTCTTTGACATTTATTAGGTAATTATGTTTTCTTTCTTTATTTTTTATTAAAATCTAAAATATGTATGAATATACTGTAGATACCCTGCTGTATATTAGTATACAAAGTTACTAAAATTTTACGTTTCACAAGATATATAGAATGTTCTATCTGTTAATTTGTAAACAATCACCATTATAATATTTTATGGAAATTAAGATTTGAATAACTTTGTATATTTAATGCATATATAGATTTTGTTTTGTTAAATCTAACTATTTGGAAACCACTCTCAATGATTCATATAATTAATTTTCTGTGATAATAAATAAATTTTTTTTGTCTAGCTATAATTCAAATTTTAAGCAAGATTCTTTGTTATTGTTTGCCAATTTTTCTTTTTTAACATCTCTTAGTAATTTTTTCATACTAATAAATATTATTTTTTAGTATTTGTTATCCATAATTTTTCAATACAGATAACGATTTCATAGATCTAATGTATATGTTTGATTTTGATATATTTTTAAAATTGGCAGCTATTGATATACTTTTTACTCATTAGCATTATGTAAATTTTAATATTTACTAATGGTATGATGGTATTGGTTTAACTTTAATTTCAATTAATTAAATAATGATTTTAACAGTATTTTAATTTTAAGTTGTAGAATTAAAAATAGTTAGATTCTATAGATATATCAATAAAAAAAACTTAAGTTATGACTATGGTTCGGGACATATTACTCTAATAATGTTCCATTTGTTGCAAATATACAATTAAATTTACCAATACATTTGGTTTCTTTCAAAAATGTACGATTAAATAAAATTGTAATATTTATTATTGATTAGAGTTCGGGATTTATTGCACTCAAAAATGCTTAAATTTGTCAAAATTATTTTTTTTGTAAAATATATTCAGTCAATTTTTATTGTACCTCTATAGGAATTTGCCAACGTACAGTATAATCAACCACAAAAAATAAATGCATTTAAGCTTGAACCTTAGTTATGACCTACTTTTTGTTAAATATTACTTTGGATAAATTATAATTATTATATTATATATATTTTTTTTAATACAATTGTATTTACTTTTAATAGGGTGATCTGATTTAATTTACTCTCACACAATAAAAATAATCTACATCTTATAGATGTTTTAGTATTTTTAGGTTTAAGTTAGTGGTGGTTTTGATTACTAAATTCAAACGATAAATTATTGTTTTTATATGTTTTTTTACAGTAGTAAAGTAATTTTCCTGCACTTGATTTGTAAGTAAAATGTTTACTATACTAATGATAATAGTCGTACAGACATAATGTCTTATGTAATTTATATATGTACATATTATACCATAAAATACAATTATGTTGCACAATAGTTAACAACATAAAGATAATTCTATTTACTAGTTTTACAATTCTTTAAACAATTTGTATTTCAATTTTCAATCAACATATTTCCTAATTCACATACCTAACATTAATATGTTATAATTGCATTTATATTTTTAAATGGTAAAAAAAATTTTATTTTAATTTTCGATTTGCAACCAGTATTTTCATTTCATGTTATACACATTTACATTAAAATCTTTTTTTTTTTACACAATTGGTGACAATTAATTAAATAATTCAATTGTTTTATTGATCTATGCTGTGTCAATAACATATGCAATAATATTTTAAACTGTAACATGGCAGTTTTAATTGTATATGATTAATTGCATTAGGGATTAAAATGTTTATTTGGTTTATTATACAGTTGATTATACAACATTTACGTCAACAATATTTGTTGTACATACTACATTTTTTTGGTGTTTAAACACTTCATAGCTATATTAATATCTTTTATATCTCAATAAGTGTATTATTATTTTCATAAAATTCAAAGATATACCATTATTTTCTACTACTTTTACCACTTATTGTTTAACTTGTATAGTTTTGTTAACTATGTAATATATTTAGACATATTATAGTATTACATTAATATTATACAGGATGATTTGTTTAGTTTGGTACGATTTAATGTGGTAAAGTTATTAAGTTTTCCCACCACAGAAAGTCACATAACAAATCATGCTTTATAGTTTATAGCAGTGGCAAAGCTTCATAGGAGACAATGAATGCAGGGAATATTGGAAAATGGGTGGAGGTCCTAGGTTATTACGTTATGAAACATGTTTAGCTATTTGTATTTTAATTTTAAGCAATCATTTATAACTCAGTTATTTATGTGTTGATGGTGTTCCTCAAAACTCTTTATTTTGGTTGGTTTATTTCTGATGTGATATTGTCTAAATATCTTTATCCATATTGATTGCCCAACTTATAATATTTTTTCGACTTCTTTCCGTGTTTACTTACCCCTTGCCACTGGTTTATTGTACACTATTTAGCTATTCAATTTTTGCTTTAAGTGCTTATTGAATCAAATGTGCACTTGTATGTTATACATTAATTATTTACACTGTGTAAAAACCAAAAAAAAAAAAAATTGTTAAATTAGACCATAAATAATTTAACATCAAAATGTTTATTTTTTCTAGTTAATTGTACTAACTACCATATTATACTATTAATACTATTAAATTACTTTCTGTATACTATAAGAATAATACATTTTCAAATACATAATATAATTTATGTATTGTTCCATCCTTTAAAAATGGAGGTTTTATATAAATTGATTTATTTGACTACTCAATTAGTAGATTGTTACAATTATGTTCAAAACAAATAGTATAATATCACACCATTCGCATTTATTTTGAAATTGTAATTTATTTGTACAAACCTATGTGTATGTAAATATAAAAATATAATTAATGCCAATGGTTCACTTTTGCAGTGACATAATTGATCATAACATCATAATCACTTGTTAAGTAACTAAATTATAAATACTATTATGATGTGTTATTATGCTTTTAGTTGAGTTTAGAATAAATTAATTTAAAAGCGTGTTAAAGTTTATTTGTAAGATAACAAAATAATGAAAAAAAAATATAGTTGTTTTTTGCATTTTGAACTGTATTAAATCTTTTAAAAGTACATCCCATGTCCTCATATTATTCCTAAATGCTTGATAATTATCAAACCATATTATATACCCTGTACTACAGTGGTCGCCGCTTATTGGACTCACGGTTAATTGACTCATTCGCATATTAGACTCAAAACGGTTGGTCCAGATTCGCACGGTTAGGTTAGGTTAGGTTTTTGAGTCATTCGCCTTATTGACTCATTCGGTTAATTGACTCAAATTGTAGGGTCCCAAAGTGAGTCCAATAAGCGGCGACTACTGTATATTAAAATATGTAGTTCTTACTTCTTAGTAGATTTAGCGAAAAATTTAATTAACAATAGGAAAATAAGAATACTAACATGATTTTTTTTTAGATTTGTTTTATTCAGTAGTTTAAAAATAATAATACAAAAATAAATAAATGTTTTGTTCTGTGATAAAAAAAGCTTTAAATGTTACACAAATATACATATTTTGTACAATGATTTCTATTAGCTATTACATTCTAAACATTTATTTCTTATCATAAATTGGTAAAAATTATGTACATACAGGAAAATTCAATAATAAGTTTAATTAATTTTATAATCCTGGCATTATATACGCTATATCGTCCATTAACCTCGACATTGTTTCTTGGGAGTTCACATTAATTTCGGTCACTTGTTGGGTAAGGCAAAGTAAAGGTCCCAAGGCACATAACAAAGAATCTAGAAGGACCGATACACTTCCATTTACAGCTATCTGACCCTGAACACACAATATCAACATGGTTGACAATGAGAGAAAACAATTGTAAAAGTAGTCTTACTAATCAGCTCACCTGATGTTCTTTTAGTCTTTGGCCAATTATTCCCAACGATTCGCCAAGCAAAGCCAAATGAGCAGCCACATCAATAGGTTGTGTTGATCTTAAAGCTTCTAATTTTGGTTTATTTCTGAATATTCCAAACAATACAATTAAAAAGCACAGTTAGATGTTTAGTGGCTACTCTAATACATGTCACATTGTCAAATAGTATTTACTCATTGATAGTATCTATTGAAGTATCAATAATTTCGGCGCTTGGTTTTTTTACTGTAATTTTTGCGTCATTTGTACTGCTGTCAGTCAATCCTTCACGTTCTAATAATCTCTTGGCTTTGCGTACCCATCGCTACAAAATTAAAAATAAATTATTAAATGTCATTATTTCACTTAATGGAACGTACACTTTTATCTTCAGTTGGTACAGATTTCCACATGTCCCTGAGCTGTTGATTAATTTGTGATGTACCTTGATAAATTGTTTCATAATTAAAAGAAAATAACATAAATTAAAAGATATTATAGAAACTTACTAAAGTTTGGATAAGCATTCATCAAAGTCTTGCGGACTTCTTTAGCCCACAATGCATATGCCACAAACCCTGGCTCTTTCATGTTTAAATTTTTGAGAGCATACATAAACTAAAAATGTATAAAAAAAAATGTATCATACACAATATATCTGAAAGGCAAGGAAACAAAAATTTACTTGATTGTGTTCTCCTACCGAAACAGAAGTGCCGCTGGGTTCAGTGTCATCTGTAATAATTTAAGTAATAATATTTAAATTTAAGAGTGATATCATCAATTATATAAGGTCAAACTTAATTATTAAGTAACATTATAATTGTTGTGTTTAACTGAAAAATGCATTTTATACAGCACATAACAATTGGGGAATCTTATAAAAGATGTATTATGTATTTGTTTGATGATTTTGTATAATTTTCTGGTAATTATTGCACAATACACTATACACCTGAGGCAGTAGTAGGTAATACCCACTTCAGTTGCGATACCACAAAGAAAAACAGAAACCATGATACAGTGATATGAAGGGGAAAAGAAAACAGTGCTGAAATCTCTAATTCTTAAGGTCCCCACACACGGTGGCGGCAGTGGTAAAATTCTTTTGACTTGGTGGTGCCGCCACAGTGGCAGTAAATTGTGTTCGGACTCATTTTACCGCTACAGCCACTGCTACTGCTGCAGTGTGTGGGGACCTTTACTTTACTCAGGATTTTTCATAGCTAATGGTCAGGGTCGAGAGACCAAACGGTGCCTTTGTACCTGCATCCTGTATTTAGGTCATGGCCAACAAAACAATAATCTAAATCAAAGATCTTCAAACAATTCCTAGCAGAAAAGTTTTGACTAGCCAGCTAGCTGCAGCGATATACAATAATAAGGCAAAATTTAATTTTAGGTAAATTAATTACAGGTACCTATGGTGTATAACCTATTAATTTTATTTATATGTAGTACAATGCAAATACTATATTTCTAAATAATTATTAATTGTATTATAGTTCAATAATAATAACTATAATACATTTATTAATGCATCGGAAAAACAGACTAACCTTTGAAAAATTTAAAGTTTGTCACACCACTGCATAAATTGAATGTAAAATTAAATGTAGGTACCTACCTTATTCCTATACTCTGTTCTAAATAATAAGAATTGTGTGCAAACGACCAAATTACATTCCTTTGCCATCAGAATAGATCGTCTGCTGGGGTCACTGAGCGCAACTACACCGACGTGCGGCTCTTTAGCCACATCCCCCATGCAGGAACACAAATCTTATTCAGAACAGAGTATCCTGTATGTAATTATCATAACTTACTCACCACAATCCTTCATGTCAACTGTCCATTCGCCACTATCGGTGTGTTGTTGGTCTTCTAAAAATTCCATACTGTTATCGTCTTCATTAAACTGAGAAAAAGAAGACTTCTTATATAAATATGGACAGTTATTACTTATAAATATTTAAGAGGACGTAATATCTGCACGTGTTGTTTCTATCTAACTAATGCATAATGTATCTAATTGTACATACAGCAGTTCCAATGTGTTGTTAGCTTAAATATTAGAGTGAATTGAACTATCATCAATCGTAAACTTCAAAATTTAAGATTGATGATAGGTCAATTCACTCTAATATTTAACTTATTTAAGCTGACAATATAAAATTGGAATTTTTGGACCCACATTTTGGTATATTATGAGTTAGTAAGATGGAAACAACATATCCGGTACACAACACTCTTAACGACAGAATATGTGGTACATTGACATTATTATAAAACGCTAAGGTTTGTTATTTTTCAAATACTGACTTGATCAAGTGGCTCGTGGTTGGACGATTGTTTTTTTGAACTTTGTTTGGACGACTTAGGAGTTTTTTCTTTTTCTTCTGCTGGAAAATAGTTAATAGTTTGTAAAATATACGAACGAAGCTAAACGTTTGTTTTTAATTGTTAAAGAATTTTTTACGTACGTAAGTCCGAAGATTCAAAACCAAGTAACTTGGAAGACTTTTTTATAATACGTCCAGATCTCGAAACAGCAGTTACCTCCGGTTCGTCTTTAATATTAAACAGACAGAAGACAGAATGTAAGAATAATAATAATGTGTAAGATTATCTAAGAAAATATTATAGTGCATTACTGCAATACTGCGTTACTTAGTACTTAATTATAAGTCCAAATTTTTCGTTATCAAGTTAAATTGCAAAAATTTAAAATGTGGCACAATAATTATGGCTATTGGACCGATACTGATCAGTCAACCGATAGTAAGGTTTCTTTGAAAAATCTAAAATAAGACATTTTCAATTTCTAGCATATTTGGTTATTACAATAATGGTGATTTTTATTTATAGCTTGTATTGATTGTACATACTGCGTGTAGTAGAGGTAGACTGTAGAAAGTAATAACTAATTACAGTACGAACATTTACCATAATAATTGATTTCGCAAAAAGGGTTCCGTTTTGGTCTATTTTTGGAGTCCATATTATTATTTATGAATATAATATTATGCGGTCGCAGTCTTTTCCCAGAGACTAAAACCGTTTAAAATGATAACTTATGATAACAACAAATAAACGACCAACTGGAGTATATTTAGTAATAATTGATGTCTCACACTGTACCTACTTCTGTAGTACATGGTGACACACTGACACTCGTGATTAACATGATTTAATCGTAGTTTCATGATCAACAATCAAAACCTTATTACTTTCATTATTTTGACTGTTTTCCATTTATTTTTACATTTTATTATATTCATAGACTATAGTGTATGAAAGAAATGTGTTTTTGTTTAAAATTGTAATTGTAGAAGAGAACCAAGAAGCCTAGTTTTCTCTTGATATTTGTCCACGTCTACTGTGAGTATCGTTACCCGTTTTGAATTCCACATATTTTTATTTTATTAATGCCGGTTTATTTTTAGAAGTATAGCTGCATAAGTATGTAGATGCTTTAAAAAATATGAATATTTTCAAAAACTAATTAATTGTTGCTTACTGATGAGTGACGGTCGTATACAATTGTTTGGGTTTATTGGTAACATTATAGTCAGTTTAATGTTTTCAATTTTCAATCGTGACAGAAATAGTATTGTTTGATTATTTTAAACTGTCATTCGACATTTATGTGTTTTACAATGTACTTATTGTTTATTGCACTCATGTATTTATACAAATGGAACAAAAATGTAAAGAACATCTATGGGGGGGTTAGGTTATATAATAATATTTGCCTGCTTAAATGTTAGCAAAAAAAAATAAAATGTTCCTTTCCTACTAAAATTGGACTCAAATTTCTGCCTATCCCAAAATAACAGCTATAAATTGATTTTGCCATTGCTAATAGTTACTTTTATTATTTATTGCATTAAAATATTTAATTCTATAAAATAAAAATCAAGGAGAAACGAGAGCAAAATGTGTAATACTATTTAATCTTTGCTATGCGCAAATCCTAATACTGTCAAGCTATAACATTTTTTTTTTTTTTGGATGATTTAATATTGTCCTATTATTTTTTTAAATACAATTCGTAATTTTTCTCTTTGGTTTTACTACACATGGTAAAAAGTTTAGTATTGCAAAATTGTCACATCATTAAATTAACATACAACAAAAAAATTGAGTTTAGGTATATTTTTTTTTATTTACAAATCAAACAATCACTGCTTAAGAAAAAATTGTGTCATCTTGAGCCCATCCATCATTTAATGATAAAAATCGTCGCTTGGATGCAGTGTTCATGAACGGTCTTAACATCCATTCTGTGTCTGCAGTGTCAGCTGATTCTAAGGTTCCCAATTTTATTTGGTAGAGTTTCAATTGAAAACGAGGACCAACTTCACTCATTTCAATTTTGTTACCATCAACCTAAAAAAATTTTAAATTGAATAACTGAAATTAAAGTATATAGATTAAAATTAATTCTTACCGTTTTGTAAGTATGGTGTCTAAATGATATATAGTCATCATGGTTGGCAAAAGAAATTACTCTCTTGCTGTCTTCTTTAGGAACCGGGTACAGATACTTTAAAATGTTCATCGTTCTTTTACCGAGCTGGGTTTCGAAATTGTGGAAAATCAAATGTGGAAACTGTTCAGACATTGTACCAATATCAGGCACGTCATGCCTCATGACCACGTCTGTCAAGTTGAAATAAGCCGTCGGGCCATACGGCATATGACAAACAATCAATGTGTCCGGAACACCTCTGTGCTCGTGCACAACAATGAAATCAGTCACCTCATTTGCCCGGCAGGCCTGCACCAATTGCTTGATCTCATAGTTACCACGATTCATGCGCTGGGCATTTGGGAATATCAGCCTGAGTTCCTTGACGAACTTTTTCAGCCTGGCCGAAGGGTCATGAGACGTGGTGATCATAATTTTCGGGTCCTCGACACCAGCCCAACGGTACTCATCGTCCTCGTGTGAGGTGCCCGCGCCGCCCTCTTCGCCACCGCCGTTGGCCGATAACCCCGGTGACTCGTCGTCCCATTCTAATTTTTCCTGCAAATGCAACGCCTCTGCACGCAGGTCATAATGAATTGGAACGTTCTCATCCAGACAGTGTTTCAACCGTTCCTTTTTGTCTTGAATCACCTTCTGGCGGGTCTCCAAACTCTTCCGATACAGATACTCGCGTCGGAGTCGAGCTTGCCGGCGTAACATGATTTTTGGTGACCAAGTCGACTAAACGATATTATTAATGAATACCGGCGGTGCAGCGGCGGCAGTTGGTGTTCACAAAAATACTAAAAATATTCAAATATTCTATCATAGGTTGGGAGTGTGCAGCACGAACTAAGTAAAGTTTATCTTAGTTCCTAGTGTTCACTGTTCAGCGTTGTGACAGAAATACGTAATCACTATGCACGTGGTTGTGTTTACACACGATAACAGATCGTCTTATCGTCAGCCAGTCGTCCCGTCCGTGGTCTTTCACAGGTTGTCCTCGACGTCCGCCTCACACGCGGACACACTGTTCGTTGTTTTGTTTACATATTCATTTTTTCAATATAATTTACGATTTTTTCATAAACATAATATTATTCAATTATAACCGTCGAACGTACGCTAATGTTTCGTCGTGTGCTTACTGCTTGTCACTCTGGATCTTAGGTCACAAAAAAATTCATATGCCTTAGTCTAAACCGTAAGTATTTTTCAATCGCTTAAAACCACAGCGGTGAAGAAATTAATCCCATTTAAACCCCGACGAGATTTTCTGCTAATACGAGTACGGTTAAAAATTGTACGTAATTTACTAACTACACTACTTACTTGGATGTTTCTGATCAGATTTTCGGCCCTTTTCCCTGTCCATCGTGTTTTCACAACGTTTTATTTTCACTCGGTCAAATATTTATATTCAGTTAATATTTTTATCACGAGATTTATTTTTCTTATCAAAATATCAAATACCTGTGTTAAATTTTATCAACTGGGAGGATAATGATAAGAAATGTCATGAAGTGATATCGAATTGCGCTTATTTTTGAATTTCATAAGCATAAATTAAATGTATAAAAATTAAAAAATTATTTCTACTTAGGTTACCTATTATAATTATTAACTGCTATAGATATTTATGCATCACCATTATTCATTGTTAAATTATTATAAATAATTTTATTATCTGTATTTCATGTGTACATTAAATACTATGTTATTAGAGTAATACAATTTCAAACGTTTATTATTTAATTTACCATGTGCATATTTAGTATTATTTACCATTATACTATGTTCAGTGCAATTATGCAAACATAATATTTGTTGTGCGATTAACTATGTTTTAAGAAAAGTATTCGGACTTTTAACACCCAACAGTTGTATTGATGTCTGTCATTCCTCACTCCATATATTTACAAAAACGGGCAATCATTATCACGTAGTATGGCGACTGGCAAGTGCAAATTACCGCTTTTAGCATGTCGTTTTCACAAGTTAGGGAGTTATTGTTAATATAATAGTTATAGGCTCATAACATTTCAGTTTAATCGAGTAATATTCTGTTATATTAGATATTAAATATAGGCTTACCAATGAATTGTAGAATTTAAAAAGACTCAAAATATGTATAAAAATACAAGTTTTCAATACTAATACAAATCCTGAAATAATAAGTATTATCATAATTTATTGTTGAACATTAAGTTTCAATATATTTTATTGCATCTAATATATATTTATCCTATTTTATAAATGAAATATACCAATTGTCATATGTGTATATAAAATCTTAGAAAAATTAATTGTTTAGATGGATACTCTTAACTTTAATAATTATATCCAAATTAAAAAAAAATATTTTATTTTACAACTTTAAATATGAATTCACTTATTAGGTATATAATATTCAATTTTAATTTTGTATGCCTCATGTTTAAATTACATTTTAATTGTGTCATTGGTTAAGCATACACAAAGTACACTTAATCAATGATTTGTAATGCTGTTTCTGTACCATTCAACTGTCTAATTTAATTTAAATTTAATTTGTTTATCTATTAGATTCAAGTACTATCGGAATATAAACCTACACAATGGCTATTTCCAATATAGAAATGCACAAGCGCATAACTCGCCATTTGGAAAATTCTCATATTATAATATCACCTGAAAATGAATGGTTTAAGCAATGTGTGGATTTTTTCATTTCAGATAATCCAAATGTAATGCACAAAAATATATTAAAATAAGTAAAATTAATAATTGACATCTTTAATTATTTTATTCTCAGTGTGATGTAAAGGACTTGTCTGCAATGGTAGTTGAACAATTAAGTTTATCCGATTTTCAAGAAATCGGATTGTTTAGTTTACCAGCCAATTTAAATAATTGTGATAAAAAGGTTTTAACCGGAAAATATTGCCTTCAGGTATTTTGTAATGATATCTTATCCATATTTAATCATTTTTAAGTAAGTATATTATATTTTACATTGTATACAAAACTACAAACGTAGGTTGTCAATGTTTTTTTATTACTTATTGATAAAATTACGTCTTAGTGAAAAACTGGAAAATGCTATAACATTTCTATGTAGGCTTATTTATCGATTTGAAATATATATTAGGTGTTTCAATTTTTTCAGTTTTTTTCTGTAAGTGTAATAATACCTAGTCAGCAAAAAAATATCAAAGAAATCTTAGCAACTTTGAACAGTTTTTATAATTCAGTGATTAATTATTGCTTTTAACCATTTGATTGTACATTTGTACGTGACTGTACCTAACACCACTGACATCCTGCTGCCGTATGTTTGGTGTCTTCTTATTTTCATTATATAAATTGAAAATCTCCAATCAAAAAATTATAGTAAAATGAATATAATGCTGTAGTTAATAGTTTAAATTTATAAAATAATACCCGAGATGAGCCATGAAAGACATCCGGTTTCCATATCCTATCCAATAATGTTATTCTTAACATTATTGTACAAACGTGTTCTTAACTATAGGTAAATACCATTCTTAATGTTGGCCAATCGTGTTATTCCCAATACAATATATTAGTAAAAAGAGATACTAGTAATACTGAAATTGGTGATGATAAACCAGCGCCTTGGGAACCTAAGACACATAGAATGTTAAAAATGATGTGTTCTGATGGTCAACAGGATATAGTGGCTATGGAATATGAGTCATTGCAATGTCTTAAAGAACCATTTATACCTGGCTTCAAAGTATGTCTTAATTAAATTTAAGTTAGCTGCTCTGTGGTCAATAGAAAATTTTAAATTGTTGTTTCAGATCGTGGTTGTTGGACCAGTTGAATATAGAAAAGGAGTATTACTATTAAAATCTACTAATGTACACTTCATTGGCGGCGAGGTCGAACATTTGTTAATAAAAAATGCACCATTAAATGTTCTATGTAGAGCCCTGTAATTATTTAATTAAAATTATTGTATTATTTATTTATCTAATCTTACAAAATATTTTCTAGAAACAAACCGGAATTAGAAAATCCGTACATATTTTCAAATATTGAAGTAGAAAATGCTGTTATGGAAGTACATGAACCAAGTGATATTATTCCACCAAGACGGATAGAAAATGTATCCACAGTTGGTATAAGAGAACAAAATTCTGTAATACCCCCAACTAGTACAAATCAAAGTAATAATACTAATAGCAACCATACTGGAAGTGGAATTATTACAGTAAGTATTCAATATTATGTGTTCGTTCTACTAAATGTGATTTTTAATGATTTTTTTTATATATACTTTAAGTATGACGATTTTTTTGATGGCGATGATGATTTGTTGTACCTGACACAAATGGCAGAAATTGAAACAAAATTCACTGAATCCAATAATGTTTCATTACAAACATTTGGTACAGACCAAAATAATACCAAAGTCAATAAAACTACAATTGCAGTTCCTAAAAATAATAACATAACAAATAAGAAACCAGCAGTTACTGCAAAACAGACTAAAATATCTGATATGCTAGGTCCAAGTACTTCAACAGCATTTAGAGGTTCAGTAGCTGAATCAACTAGATGTCAAAATGATAGATCAATAGAAAATAATAGCAAAAACGTTAAACAAATATCAGCAAAACGTATCGCTAGTTCGCCAGTATACACAGAAACTAAAAGGCCATCAATTGAACTGCCAAAACCAGATGATGATTGGGGTGATATCGATATGGATATCGATGTTTCAAACCCATTGATTAAGGTCCTAAATTCTGCTTCTATTATAAAGAACTCAAAAATACAAGTGAAACAAAATGAATGGATATGTTCTGGTATCGTAATGGATGAATCAAAACATGAAGAAGCTGAGTTCTCATCAGAAGTAAGTTTAAGAAAGTAATAAATAAAAGTATAAACAAATAATATTAAATACAGTAGACGCCGCTTATAAGACTCACTTTGGGACCAGCACAAAGTGAGTCTTATAACCGAATGAATCTTATAGGCGAAGTGGAAAAAAAAATTAATTACGTATTTATAAATTTTATTTTACTACATATTTTGCTTTGATTTTAATACTTTAACACATATTACATATTGCATACTTTATTATTGAATAAATTTAATAATCCTGATAAAAAAACTAAAATTATAATAGGTAAATATTACATATAAAAATATTATAAAAATTATACATTAATAAAAAATTATAAAGGTTACGTATGGCATATACGTATGTGTATTTATGTACCCGTAATTGCGATAACTGTGCAGCCGCCAGATAATCAGATACCTCACTATAATAACGATAATCGTTGCGATAAATGTGAACTTTTATCTGCGATAAAAATTATTATACGTTATAAGGTACAACAGAAACTAGGATTAATCAACACGAATATTATTTAATTTTTCAATACCAATCTATTTCTAAATTATAACCAAAAAAGTTTATTTTCTACTATTTATTTCACGAAATTTGAGTCTTATAACCGAAGCGTTGAGTCTTATACCCGATTTTTTTTTAATGTAGTTTGATACGTCCGGTCCTTTCCAGACGATTTTGAGTCTAATAAGCGACTGAACCTTATATCCGTGAGTCTTATAAGCGGCGTCTACTGTATAATAATACATGAGTTTATAATTTATATAAGTTCATGAATGTCTTATTAGTCATCATTTTATACACATTTTGTGTAGTATTTAAACTAATATTTCTTTTAGGTATTGGAGCGTTTGATTGGAATTTCATCCGAAGAAGTTCTTCAGTTGAAAAACAATCCTTCAAACTGTGCTCCACTAAAAGAAAAAATTGAAAAAGTATGTAAAATTGTATAGCTTATTCTTAAACTACATATATTTAACGAAAAAATTCTATGTTTAGGGAATAAAAGGGGCATATAGAAAATTGCACTTATTCAAAGGTAAGATAACTTTAACATACTCATTAGATGGAAAAAAAAAACCAATTATTACCGACATGGTAATAATATAACTTTATAATTAAAGTACGTTAGTATAATGTATAAGTTAATTCAGTATATAATTTTAATGATAGACATTATTTAATATTTATTGTATGTTTTTCCGAAACCAAAGTTGTATGGTATATTATTTTAATTTTTAATAAATGTATTTTTAACTGTCTATAATTATATAAAACACAGATGAACAATGCCATTGGAATATTTGTTGACAGTTCATTTATGAATTATATATTTTTGGATCGGAAAATCATTTTTAGAACATTTAAAGAAAAATGTTGAAGCTTAAAGTTACAAAGAAAAGGTATGCAGTGTCTTATTTAATGACATTTCCATCAGAGTTTTTGGAATATTCTTAACAATACAACTTTGTAGAAAGTTTTTAGGATATTGATAAAATTGTAAGAGAAAATTAAAGCGCTAATACAGCACTTATTATCATGGCTAGAGGCAATTATTCATCTTGGAAATTTCATATTGCTTATTTAATAACTCATTTTGCTATAAAAACTACAATTTTGAAAACATTAATTGTTGATGTTATAAAAGAGCTAATTGGTGTAGGACCTTGCTTTCAATTAACAGTGTGTAACTGAGGAACAAACACTCAAAGTGCTCTCAAATTATTGAATATATTGTATAAATGAAGATAAGCTTTATTTTTTAATTGATGAAAATAAATTATTGGTCATTTTTGATGTCCTGCATCTTGTTAAAAGCAACAGGAACAATTTAATATTTAGTGTTTTTAAAAAGGATGACAAAAAAATTGTACAATTATTATTGATACTTATCAAGTTGACCAAAACAATTAAAAAAGCAGAGCTCTATTAAGTATAACTGATGCACATAATATATTCCCTAACTCTTTCCAAAAAAATGAGAGTTAAGTTTGCCACTGAAGTATTACCCCATTCAATGGCGTCAACAATGTGGTCATGTGATGTGAAAAATTATATAGGATTGAAAGCACCATACAAATATTTTAATAGTATAATTAATTAAGCCCTTCCTGTTTAGTGTTTTTGATAAAAAATGTACAAAATATTCACTTAACGCTTATAGTAGTATAGATCCTAATGGGGTGCCGCCTATTATATTAAAGGAATGCAAAAGTATCATTACTAAACCACTGCTTAAACTATTTAATTGTCTTGGTCAACGAGCACCTATCCAATATATTGGGGAAAAATTTTTATAGTTCCTATTTTTAAAAGTTTAATTTAATTTAAGTCTATTATTAACACAATAGTAATGTTACAAATTACCGACCAATTTCCAAATTGTCAATTATCCTAAAAAATTTGAGCCTATTATCACCAAAAACATCTAAATTATTGTCTAATTACGTCTGTCTTAACCGTCATGGGATCTGGCCTAAAAATTCTGTTTTCACAAACTTACTCACTCATCACCCTCATAGAGTCTCATCTATTAAAAACAAGTCAAATTGATACAGTATATACTTATTTTAGTTAGGTTGGAATTATAAAAAAAACACCCTATATCATGTAGTGGGTAATTAATGTATTTACACTGTAGTACTGCAGACGCTGAGTATACATTTTATAATACTATAGTATACATGTCTTTTGTAGCAGCTAGTATACATAATTAATTATTGATTTATATAATGTCACATAACAGTATCATTTACTTATTATTAAAATATACCTATAAACGATCTTATTATTATACACATTTACCTTCTGTATTTCTGTGCACTTCAACACTTGATTGAGTAAACCTTGTTTTATTTATAATTAGGGATCGGATTTATACGCACAAAAATCCCCCCAAATATGCTTCTAAAAATGCTGTTTATGAGGAACTAAAGTTAAAATTTTGAAAACACCTAAATTAATGGTTTTCTCTCAGACAATGTTTATTTTGTTGAAATTCAAAAAATTGGGAACTTTTGAAACTTTCTATTTTTTCTTGAATTATTATTTGAAAAACATTAAGATTAATTTAAGTTAATGCATTTAAACTTTTTGATTTTTTTTACATCGTTTCGTTTGAAAAGAGATAAAATTGTATGCTTTGTAAAACAGATGTAACACCTAATTTCCTAATAAGTTGTTTTTATATTAGCTTCAAAATCTTAATATTAAAATTCAGTTTTATATAAGAATGAGTGTTTTTAATGATATTAAACTATTTTTTTTCAGACCGTTTAGTAAAACAATAATTAGATTGGATAAAACATTATGAAAATGATCAAATCTATTTTAGTTTTAATCTCATCTCTGACCTTTTTATGAAAAGATTTATTTTTTTTTAAATTGCATATACATATTGTGCTTCTGTAATTTTGTGGTGTAAATTATAAGTTGACCTATTGGCTATTACTAAAGTAAAAAAAAAATGTAGGTTTAACTGGTAAGTCATTTTGTTTTTGATCATCAAATTCTATTAATGTTACACTGACAATTTTTTGATTTTTATAATTCGATACGTATATTATTACACAAATAAAAAATATACATTTATTTAAATTTCTTTAACTTAAATACCAAATACCAGTGTATTAATTACATGCATAAATACAATTAAGTTAGGCAAGTATTTAATACAATAACAGTCTTAGATTACTAAATATTTTATAAATTACACATTTTAATAAAATATTTTTTTTTTAATTCAAATTATTCATGTGAAACAATGATTGTGCTTGTGGTCAGAAAAATAAAATGTACAAACTAAATCAAATTAGAGTACATGCCATTGTATTACAAATAGCTAAAATTAAAACAAATTAACATACATCAAAAAAGTACATAATATCTAAAAACAAAATCACAATAAGCAGAGCAGAAGCTAAAGACAGGCGTTTTTCTTAAAACTAGGACTTGTGGAGTATTAAATCAATAAAGTTAAAAATAATTTAGTCACTATATGAGTTCAGAGTTTCATATTAAGTATACAATAGTACGCTCTAGTTCTATTAGAGGTCTATGGCTTTAATAGATGTACGACTGTATATTATGAATATGTTTATTTTGGTAGGGTTGTTGTTTTCATGCTTGCTTGATAATCAATCATCATGAGCTTCAACACCACCTCCCATGAAATCTTTGAACTCCATTGCCATTTTGTACGGATAACACCTATAATAAGCAAGAAAAATTAACCACAATGTGTATATTAGCACCCGGCTGTCTTTAGACATATTAAATAATTATAATTTACCTAAATATGTTATTGATGACGAGCAATGGACTCGGAATGGAATGTTCGAATAAATTCTTTCTGACAGCGGCTATTATTTCTCTTGCTGTCGATTCGGGTGTTACGAGTGGTAACAAACTGGGAAAGCTATTTACAATAAAATCGTTAAATCAATAAATCGTTTAAGAACACCACACAGTTGTAATCATAAACTATGGACATTGGACAGCGCTTATGGGAGCTGGGTGACGATACCGAGTGAGCTCTGTGAGCGAGAAATGAAACAAAGTGCCAAAGTGGTAAGATTATGGACTAAATCTTATACTAATGTTACTACCTTAATATAATATAAACATAGAACAAGGACTTTAATGGGTTAATAATAGCCTAATAGCCTAATACCAGCTATAAGGTGTCTTATTATTAAGGTATATACTCTATAGTGACTAGTGCCACACGGCTGATAAATAGAATAAAAAAATAGTAATAATAATATCTGTGACTGCGAGATAAAAAGTATAACGTGATAACTGATTTACGCCAAACAAAAAGAAAAAAAAGTGAAGTATTTCATCCATGATTCACTTTTTTCTTTCTCTCGGTTTTAGAACGCGGTAAATGATGATGCAAATGCCGAAATGGTGCAACCGGTGCCGGTGTGAGTGAAAAGCGCTGTCCGGTGTCTATACTCCGTAGTTGTAAGCGTGAAATTGTGTCTTAAAAGTTTAAGAGGTATACTAGAGTCGTTATATTTTACTAATTTATAGTTGTACAGTTTATAGGTGCATTGTAAAAGTTGTATAATTATTAAATATTGTGTTGTGTCACTCGGACTTACCGAATTATTGGTTTCTTACAAAGCCCGGTGTCGACCATATACGGGAAAATAGAGGTGAAGTGGAGATTTGTGAAGCCATCTGCTCTGCACTCGTCCATTATTGCCTCTGATAGACCTAAAACCCGAACAATGTTTAGTCGGTGACCGCGTATTTATTTTTATTTACGGTTTGCTTGAAACTGACAACCACTAACCTCTCACTGCGAATTTTGACGCACAGTAAGGCACCAAGTTCTTCAGGCCAATTATACCAGCCATCGACGACAAGAAAACTAAATGCCCTTTGTTCAGGGCTTTCATTCCCGGCAAAAAAGTGTCCAACATCTTAACAAAAAAATTTAGGTAATTAATTCAAATATAGAAATAAAAACAATATTTATATATCAAAATGAGCCGTTAAAAAAAATTTAATTATCATCAACAAATCGGCTTTCACTTAAATGTATGCCGGGTGTATCTTATGTCATTGTACACAGGGTTTTTCACAAGTACAGATTCTATTATGGGATTTCAATAAAAAAAACTTGTTTCTGTATTTTTCAAAGACAATTTTTTTATAATATTTTCTAAAATTTTAATCATTTAGTTGACCAATAGTATACAAACAACTTATTTAATTCCATTACAAAGTAAACCATGTAGGCACCTGCTTACATAAATATTCAATTTCAATATAGGTTGATACATATTTACAAATTTCCAATATTAATATTAAAAAAATATCTCATTTTGGAAAAACATAAGGTCTTAGGTTGTTATATGTCCTGATTCTGTAGTTTATTTTTTTATATCATGTTAATTACAAATATAATAATGAGTAACAATATTAATACTTATTTTGATGACTGTATGTTAAAATAAAAATAGTGAACTATGTCTGTTAGAAGGAAAAACTTATTTAGCTCTTGTAAATCAAACTCATATCATTATTTCAATTCTAAGTATCCATGCATTTTCTAAACTTTTTAGAATCATAGTTAAGAAACTAGTGAATCAAAATTGATGATTTAATGACTATCCAAATGTTCAGAAAAAAAATCTACTAGGACCCATTAAAAACTAAAGTTGTTCCTCCATTAGTACAATTGCATGTTTAAAAATTTTGAAGTTATAATAAAAATTGCCTGTTATAAACAAAGAAACATAGTTTTTTTTTTTTTTAAACCCCCTATCACCAATACTTAATCATTGAATCACCAATCCATTGTTGTTAAAAAACACCTCATACAATGACATAAGATACACTCAGTATATTATAATATAATACTATGTTAATAATAGCTTAGTACGCATGTAGCTTATAATTCAAAAACAAGAAGTTCTTGAAATTACTTCCAAATATTTATCATAGTGTTTTTTAACATGATAAAATGTTCAAAATATTTTGAATTTTTTAGTAAGTTATGTACATTTTAAAATAATTGCCTGCTTTTTTTTACTTCATTTTTTTTTTCAATATATGTTGGAAAATTGTTTTCTTCCAAGCCAAAAAGCTTAAAATAGAATACAAAGTTCCTTGTAGGATCTTCCTGGATTAAAAAGTAAGTTAAGCTTAAAGCCAAATCAATTTTTTTATGAGCGTTTAGAGTTTATATTTTGGTAAATTATATTATAGTTTATTATATTATAATATTATTGTATTATTATAACTTTGATTATATAATTAAAAATTAGTAATTTATAGTCAATGCTTACGGTTCCTTTGTATTTTTTAACTTTGATTTCTATGGGTAATCTTTCTCTTTCCCTTTCACTTGTCTATTCAGACTGTGATTCAGAATGGTTCAATGTTATTAATATTAGTAATTACTATACAATAGTCTTTTAGGTCTAATATTAAACAATATCTGTGAGGTGTTCAATATTATAATAAAACACAAAATATAGTCAAATTTACAATACAATTTCTTGCTTTGTATAATATAACCTTACTCTTCAGTCCTGACCAATGTCTAGAAATTTGAACTGTAATTATTATCTAACAGTACTATTTTATAAGAAAAGGATGGGAGAATATACAACTCAATGAGATCATTCAAAATTGATAATGTATAATTTTATGTCATGAATTATTTTGTGCCGTCTGAAAGTACAGTACAATTTCAGAAATTTTAATCCTGATTATTATTGTTAACATGACGTATTATTGTTGTTGTATAACTGTAATTTTAAGCCATTCCTAAAAGTCGTCTCCATTAGTAACATATTATGCATTATATAACAATAATAATATGGTTATATACCTAAGGTAATTATTACATGTACCTGACACCGGTGTCATTGATTTGACTTATTTAATGGAAAATTTATACCTAATATTATTTACCTACTAATACTCGCTGACCCTATGCACTTCGTTGCCCGTTAAATGCCAACACCCATGTTATTCAAACTGCTCAATTCATCAGACTATGTAGAGTTATGATGTTTAACACTTAAAAATTGTCATCGGCTTCTTGAATCTCAAAATACTTGTGAAAGCAAATGTTTTTGTTGTCTTCTCTTCTAATAAAGTTCTCGAGCTTGCCATTGAATCCCTTAATCTCGCTCTCTTTGAACTCAATTTTAATATTTTTACTGGCCTATTCTTTTCTGTCGCCTAGGATAAATGCAAATCTGTTATTTTTACTAGAGGTAGATATTTTAATCCCCCAATGTGTATTTCGATAACAATGTTACTCTTTTTGTAGATAATACCAGCTATTAAGGTATTACTCTTGATCCTAAATTACGCTGTGTTACCTCACATTATATCACTCATCTCTTTTGGCTCTCGTTGGGTTAATTTTCTTAGGGCTATTACTGGTACTTGGTGGGGCTCTCACCCTACTGATCTTCTGATAATTTTTTTATAAATCCATTATACGTTACAAATTCGACTATGGCTGTTTCCTCTTTGGTTCAGCATCATTTTCCTACTGGAAAAGACTTAATAAAGTTCAAAGCTCTTCCTTAAGATGCATCATGGGCTAAGTAAGATATTTTCCCCTCCCAGCTATAGAAGTAGAATCTTTGTGCCCTCCTCTCAATATTAAATGTTGCTGACTTGCAGGCAAGTTTCTCCTCAAATCCCTATCTCTTCCTAATTGTCCTATTTTAGATTCCTTTTACTCCTTGTTCCCTACTTTGCGTTATGTTTCTAAGTCTCTCCCTATTCTCGCATTGACTGCTAATTCTGCACCATTCCATCAATATATTCTAACTAATTCTCAACTTCCTATGTATGAGATTGGATATGAAGCTCTTCTTTATTCTACGCATGTTCATATAGCTGACATTTTCCCAGGTTTTTCCTCTTTTGGTTTAAGGAACTCTTCTTCCGTAGTTGTTAACAATATTTTTTCTGATTTCATTGAATGTAATTTTCCAGATTTTATTGTCATCTACAAGGATGGTTCCGTGTTTCCCCTTTATCAGCAGGTTTCTCTTTCTACATTCCTGAGCTATACATTTCATGTACAAGTAATTTACCCCCTTCCTCATCTTCTTTCACAGATGAATGCTTCGCCATTGTGGAAGCGCTAAATTTTATTTCTACCTTTCCATATAAAAAGTTTCTAATTGCCTCGGATTCAATGTCTTGTCTTCAATCTCTTAATTCCTATACTTTTAATTCCAACTTATCTCCTTAAATTCTCCGTATTAAATCTATTATTTTTGGTCTTGGTCAATCAAGCTATAATCTTCAATTTCTTTGGATTCTTAGTCATGTAGGAATTCGCGGCAATGAGATTGCCGACTCCTTAGCTAAATCCTCCTCAAACTTTATTAGTCCTTTTTCCTTAATTCCTTGGTCAGATTTTACTCCTCTCCTACGACGTCATGTTTCCACCCTTTGGTCCACCTATTGAAATAGCCTACCTGCTAACTTTGCCTCAAAATTTAAATCTATTGTTTCTAATACTGGAACTAATATCTGGTTTAAAAATGTATCTCTATCCAGATCATCCAGATGTCATACAATTAAATCGTTTACGTATTGGACATTATCTTTTACCCTCCCATGATTATAAATTAAACTTAAATGATTCCCCCTTTAGTACACTTCACTTGGATGAATGTCTCTGCGATTTATCGCATATCCTTTTTGATTGTCCCTCACTCTCTATAAACCGTTCTCATTTAATTTCTTCTCTCAATTCCTTAACCATCCAATTCAATCTCCCCTTTATTTTAAATTTAAAATCAGAACATGTTGTTTCTTTTATCCAGGAGGCTGGCTTTGTCATTTGGCCTTTACTTTACAATATATACATTTATACATTTATTTGTTTATTTATAGTTTTTTTTTTAAAATTTTTTTCTTTCTTTCTGTATGATGTAATTTTATTTGATGTAAGATACTTAATTGTTGAGCTAAAATTTTTATGAAGGCCAATAAAAAAAGAAAAGATGTTTTACCTATTTAAGCATACTTACATGGTGGTACGAAGCGGTGGTTTACGGATTAGCAGTAAGACTCCCTATCACGTATTACCGACCTATTCTGCCTATGATTAGGTCGCTGAGACCTTTGGGTGCTAGACTCTCTAGCACTTGCTTGCGATCTGTATTCTCAAGCCGTGCTCTGATGAAGTCTCTCCCATTCGGCGTACTTTAACCGATCTTGTGCGGGATGTATGTCTAGATAGTTGTGATTTTTTTTAGGCATACTGTTTTTAAAACACTCCGATTGTTTGGAACGATCAAACAGTAGTTCTAATTAGAAATTTTGATGAATTTTATAATAACGTGTATGAAAAAATATAAAACCAAAAGCAGTTTGGAAAAGAACGTATTATTTAAAAAAATGTCGAAAGAGTCAAGAGTGTGTATTAAGTTTTGAAAATTTCAATTTCGTCATCTTCGCTGCGTAAGGAGACGACCTCGCAGTGAGCCGCGCGGCTACTTCGACGATTCCTAGAATTTTTAGATCGTAGACAAAATAACCGCAGAAACAAACCATTTATTTACAATCATAATAAATGGTGTCCCAAAATAATAAAAATGCAATGTTCGAGTTAAATTGATGCTTGTATGTTGAATGTGTTTAAAAATGTACGAGTTGTTTTATAGTAAAGTTATATTCGTGCCGTATGTTTAGGTATACAATTTACACGGTTATTTTTATTATTAATAATTATTAATTACTAATTATTTATTAACTTTATATCTGACTAAATTTATGCCCATGGCACTCACAAAGAATGTGGCTTTCTATTGGTAAGAGAATTATCAAAGTCAGTTCAGTTGATCCTGAGATTACCTCTTAACAACTTAACAACCATTACCCATTTATATACCTAATAGTATAGATTAGTTAGAATGGGCAAACCTTACTAATA